TGACCTATCCCCTCCCTAACTCCCCACCTACACTCACCTTTACTGGCTCCATCCCCGCCTCTTCGACCTGTTTGTTTCCTCTCCACCTATCCTCTCCTCTATCCATCTTCTATCCGCCTCCCTCTCTCTCCCTATTTATTTCAGAACCCCCTTCCCCTCCCCCTTTTCTGATGAAGGGTCTCGGCCTGAAACGTCAGCCTTTCTGCTCCTATGATGCTGCTTGGCCTGCTGTGTTCATCCAGCCCTGCACCTTGTTGTCTCGGATTCTCCAGCATCTGCAGTTCCTACTATCTCTGATACCATACACTGGATATGGTTTGCCCATACCCTGGAGCAAAACATCCCCACCTTACTCTATTCCCCTTGCAATAAATGACAAGGTTTCATTTGCCTTCCTAGTCACTTTCTGTACCTGCAAGCTAACGCTTTGTGATTCATATAACAGGACACCCAGGACCCTCTATATAACAGAGTTCTGCAGCCTCTCACCATTTAAATATTATACTGCTTTTCTATTTGCCCAAAATAAATGGACAAGTTCATATTTTCCCACACTATCTTCCACCTACTAAATTTGTGTCCATGTCCTTAATCTATCCACATCCCTTTGCAAAATCCTTTGTCCCCTTCACAAGTTATGCTCCAACCTAGTGCTGTGTGATCAAGTTTAGCAACACACATTTGATCCTTTCAACCAAGTCAGTGATATAAACTGTGAATATGTAATAGCCCTAGCATAGATCCCCCGGCTCTTCAATAGTTATAGCTACCAGTCCAAAAGTAATTTATCTGCACTCATTGCTTCCTGTTCGCTAACCAATCCTGTCTCCAAGCTAATATGTTACCCACTACATGATATGCTCTTATTCTGTGGTGTAATCTTTTATGTGGCACCTTACCAACTGTCTTTGGAAATCCCCTTTTGGATTTCCTCTTCATGCCACCTACAGGGTAATGTGATGATTATCAGAATCTTCCTGATTCCAAAGAGAGGGACCACACAAATTGTCATAAAAAGATACTAGCCCCAAAAATCTGCAGAATGTATTTTAGTATACTGACATTGTGGCAAATATTTCACTCCATGACACAGGAAATAATCTTCAAAATATAAATGTCAATCCAAAAAAAAACCCCACAAAATGTATTCATTTGGCCAATGATGAATAATAATACTGCTATAGACACACTTCATCTGACACTCTTACCTGGATTCTGACCTGTGCAGTATTCAGCAATTCCTGTAATTTGTGACTTTGGTTTTTGAACTCATTCATCATTTGACACTTGACTTCCATGTCACTCTCCAATTTCTTCAATTTTAGTTGTAAAGCTGCTTCTTGAGCTTGAAGATTCTTTCTTTGGTCTATTTGCCACTGCTTCAGTGTTTCAGTCACTGATTGCTGTAATGCTTTCTTCAAAGTTTCCAATTCCTTTTGATGTGAGACTTGCAGCTTATTCACCCTTTTCTCAAAATCTGTAGTTAATCTCTTTTTCTCAGATTTTAGGATTTCTAACTCTTGGTTCAAATTTTGAATATCCAGTTTGTGCTTTTCTTCTAATTTAATCTTTTCATCGAAACAGACCTTTAGTGCTTTGCATTTTTCCTGAAGGTTTTCTGACTCTTGGTTTACTTTCACCATCTCTGTTATTGCTGACTGTTTATCCTGTTCTAATTGGCGTTGAACATCCATGAAGTGTTGGAGATTGCTCTCAAATTCCTTCTTAATGTCAAGCATCTCCTTAGATAATGCCATTATCTTCTCTGTATGTTCTCTCTCCATATTCTTTTCCCGTTCGACCACCTGCTGTTTATACACCTCAAAGTCCGCCAATACTTCTTCCTTGCATTTCTTGTGCTTCTGCAGGGTGTCTTCAAGGGATTGAATTTGGTGCCGTAAATCCATCTCTTCTCCCATTCTGGTTTTGTACTGCAAGATCTTCCCTCGTGTTTCAGTGACGATCTGCTGGATTTCCTCTTGGTGAGCTTCCTTAATAGCTTGTAGGGAAACCTCATGCTCATCACTTTTGGCATTTAGAGCATAGATGACCTATGAAGAATATAGGAGAAAACAATAATTTTAGGGCCTAAACTCTCCCATGTCCCAGCTCCCATACCTCACACACCAGGCCTTGTTACCACATAGCTGGCCATTACACACCCGCTGTTGTCAGTCACTAACAGTCCCCATTAACAACTGTTCACCCTCCCATCCTGACCGTTAGCAACTCCTTTGTCTGTCCAACTGCTCTCCTCTCGCTTTGGGCTCTATCCTATTGTTTACTCCCTACCCCACCCACCTCCCTATTTCCTGCATATAAACTGACGATTTCCCAGTTTCCATCAGTTCTGAGGAAGGGTCATTGGACCTGAAACATTACTCTGATTTTTCTTCTTCGCAGATGCTGCCGGACCTGCTGAGCTTTTCCAGCAACTCCTGATTTACAGCAGTCGCAGTTCTCTCGGTTTTTATTTTTCATAAGAGAAAACATGCTTAATAGTTTAAAAATAACATGGCAGCAGAGATCTGAGATAAATAAAGGTAAACTATGTTGTGTGTGTGTCACTGTCAAAAGCTGAAAGGTAGAACATAGCATCTAAACCTTGGGTTGCTTGAATTGATCCGAAGTGGTGGGGTGCCAGGTGTCTGCAGCAGGTTGAGGAAGCAGTTCTCCAGGGTGCTGACGCTTGCAGGATCTCCAGGGACCAAGCACTTGCTCAGCCTCCGGTAGGAGAGAACCCCATGCTGATGGCAAACTGGGACTTTATACAATGCATGACACAGGAATAGTAGGCATGTTTGTCAAGGGCACTAGGCAACCTGACACAAATGTTGCAGGACTGCGACAACGTGACTAGGACCCTGCTACCTCAAGCATGTGATTGCCTGTGTCGCCATGGGCTGGTTGTGGGCTGCCATGGAGAGCCAAGTCTAGCATCCTCATTGTGAAATGGATACGCACAAAGACTTGCCCACAGCAACTGGGAGTGAGGAATCTTAACCTCATGCTCCGTGCCCCTCCCTTACAAAGAAGGCAGGGTGATGCCAGTGGGCAACAGACAAAGGAGGAATCACAGAGGCCCCACCCCCACATCTCCTCTCAGAACAATGTGGATGGAGGTGGCCAGACCTTCCACCTTCATGCTGTCTGCCATCATTGGCCTTGTGCGAATCCAAGCTGCCTCTGGCCAGGGCACACTCAACCCCTCTGGGCACAGATGCTTCCAGGTTCACCTGGTTAAACCAGCAGGGCCGACAGCTCTTTTGTACAGTAGGCTCACCTCACCCCAGCAGCAGAAGTTGGGAATACACTGACAGTGAGAGGAAAAGAAAGACATTCTGAAGGCATCTGGGTGACACAGATGGGACAACAATGTAAACATGTTTCTACTTGTGGAAGCACATTTCCACTTTTTACTATCAGTGGAGTGTGGGAATCTCTGTCTAGCTGCAACTACAGCATTGAGAATGCTGAGCCTAGCCATCCTTTGCACTCTATGGTGTTTTAAGATGTGAAGTGAGCAGCTCCTGCACCAGGTTACAGGTAAATGACAATGGGCCAAAATGCCTCATGCCATACTGTAATATTCCAGGACTCTGACTCCATATTCCTTTTAGACTTTGAGGCATGACACACATACTGTGTTTGCTGAGAATGATGTAGGACTGTGGTGCTCAGGAAAACGTCCACCCTATTAACTGATGGCTGCTGTCTAGCCCTGGCATGCTCTAAACTCCAGGAGAAGGCAGGAGTACTGAGAGTACTTAAGGTGTGGCTTAAAAGGCAAGGCAAAACAAGGCAGGCATGCTGGGGGCATCCATGTAGACACAAAGTGACTAAGTGCTGAGAAAGCGAACAAGCAGCCTTTCCAGCCCATGAGCTGGGTGCGTGTCCTGTATGCAATGTATTCTTGCAGCAGCATTCCAATGAGAGATGCCAGTGTAATGCAAAGTGCAATATCAAAGTGCAAAAGGATGCTATGGATCAGAGGTGCACCATGATGATGTGGAGATGTTGGCATATGTCAGGTGCCAGTATCCATGGTCATGAGATGCATGTGGCCATTGCCAATGGAATGTACCTCAGATGTTAGTGCCCGATATCCAAGATAGTGGTCTGAAACAGCAGGCATTGAGATGAGTCATCAGGTATCTGCTCTGACTTTCATAAAAATTAGAAGCTAGGATTTCCTGCTATCTAGTGGGTGATAAAATAGGGGAATGCATATTAATGAGGTCAGGTTGATAAATGTGAGCGATAACAGGTGACAATCTGCATTAAAGGACCTTTTCCCACTCACTAATCAGAATCTCATCTCCACATCTGGGACTTAGTTGGAAAACATGACATTTTGGTCTCAACATTGAGAAAACACTTTGCTCAATATCTTGCACAGCTCTTCCTTTGCATGGCCCACATCATTCAGCAGCAGGGAGGATTCCGCTCGTGGATTCTTTTTAAAACAGAGAGGCTATGTCTCAGGTTGTGCACTTGTTGGAACAATGCTTTTGAGGTTCTAAACTTTAGGACACACGCGACACAGAGACAGCAAAAGTGACAGCGAGAGATATGGGAGAGCAAAAGGGGGATTGTAAAGGGACACAGCTAAGGGCACAGAAGAGAGGTGAGGAAGATTTGGGCAGCACTGTGACTCAGTGGTCAGCACGGCTGCCTCACAGCACCAAGGACCCAGGTTTGATTCCAGCCTCCGGTGACTGTGTGGAGTTCGCACATTCTCCTCATATCTCTGAGTTTCTTCCAGGAGCTCCTGTTTCCTCCCACAGTCCAAAGATGTGCAGGTTAGGTGGATTGGCCATAGGAAATGTAGGGTTATAGGTTTAGGGTAAGGGGTTGGATGCTCTTCAGAGGGTTGGTGTGGACTCAATGGGCTGAATGGCCTGCTTCCAATTGTGGGGATTCTATGATTGTTTTCTATTCTATGATTTTCTATGTTCACGGTCAGTTAGTGGTACATGACTAGAGTATTGCTGCAAAAAGAGACATACTGTCAAAGCATTTCATCATGCATTCATCAAGACAGAATCCGAAATATAAGAATTACAGGAGGACTAGGCCATTCTGCCCTTTGTGCTTGCTCCACCATCCCTTATGATCATGGCCGATCATCGAACTCAATACCCTGTTCTCACTTTCTTAATAAAGGCTGTATTTAGAAGCTTGGGAACTATAGACCTGAGAGTCTGATATCGGTGGTGGATAAGTTGATGGAGGTGATTCTGAAAGATAGGATGTACATGCATTTGGAGGCAAGGACTGATTAGGGATGTCGGCATGGTTTTGTGCGTGCGAAAGTATGTCTCTCTCAAACTCGATTGAGGTTTTCTGAGGGAGTAACCAAAAAATATTGATAAGGGTAGAGTGGTAGACATTGGTTATTTGGAGATAGTAGGAACTGCAGATGCTGGAGAATCTGAGATAACAAGGTGTAGAGCTGGATGAACACAGCAGGCCAAGCAGCAACAGAGGAGCAGGAAGGCTGATGTTTTGGGCCTAGACCCTTCTTTTTTCTGAAGAAGGGTCTAGGACCGAAACGTCAGCCTTCCTGCTC